CGTCGTGCGTGACGCCCCGGGACGTGGGCCGGGCGTCCACCTGGGAGGCCGCGGTGCAGCCAGAGATGCAGAGGGGGGCGTGGGCGGCGCGCAGATCTGAGCAAGAAGTGGCTCTCGGGCAGGAGCAACCGGCCGCGGCCGCCCGTGCGGGACAGCGGTACCCGAGCTCTGCGCAGTTGTGCCTGCCCGCGGGCCACACTGCGGCGGCCTCCGCCCTCGAGACCGGCCGGTGCAGGCCGCGCACATCAGGCAGGACCTACACGTAGCCGTTCCTGTCAACCGTGAGCGCTGGGGAGGAAACAAGCATCAGCTGAGAAGTTGTCTTGGAAGTCGGAGCTGACAGCTTTTCTGCTGCCATCCGCTTGAGGGGTACATTCCTATTAATATCCAGGGCTACCACTCCCCAGTCATTTGGGGGAGCAGGGAAGGGGGCTGTGTATAGATGTTAGTAAAGACTCAGCCCCAAAGGATTCTGATTTGGCCGCTATAGACCAACCAACCTGGGCTCTGCAGGTAGAAGTATGCAGAGGAGTGTTTTGGGGGAATGGAACCGCTTTAGTGGTAGAAGGGAAATTTATAATTAAATCCCTGTCCCTTCCTGGGCCCCCTGGTGTGAATGAAAGTGGCATTCTACAGTGCGGCCTTTGCTGATATGTGTTGGCATCTGGGCTTCAAAGCTTAATTATGAGGTCGGGAATAAATTGCACCCTTTCTCTGAGGCTGCTTTTCTATGTACCAGGTGGTAATAGTTAAATTATCCCTCGAAGTAAGTAAATCCTTTGGCTCATAATGATAATCCTCCATAGTGGCTAGCTCTTTTTCTTTTCACCAAACTCCCCGTATTTTACAGGTTGGGACGTCGAGGAGGACAGGGACACACACAGATCTTTTTCTAGGATCAGTTGGCACGTGGTGGAGATTTCTGTAGTTGCACCAGATGACATAGTTGAGCTTCAGTTGTATGCAAAGTCTTTGGCTGATTGTGGAGTCCACAGCTCCAGCTCCGCAGCCCTTCTCTCTCCTAGATTCCCTGTTTGCTGAGACAGTGAGGCAGCACTTGGCAGCCCTCAGATTTTAGTCCCTGGGGATCGGAAGGGAAATGTAATCCCTGCTAATACCTCTTAAATGCGCCACATGATCATGGCTGAGTGAACTATTGTGTATTGCATCAAGAGTTTGGAACTCTAGAAAAGATCTTTCTTTTAAGATTTTCTTTCTAATATGATTAGGTGTTTGATAGAAATGTAAAGAATACACTTTATAACTAAATTTCTGCGTGCTCGTTTTGTGTTTGATGCAATACAAACAGCAAGAATTGAACTTTGGTGCTGAAAAAATGGATGCTTTCATGGTTCAGGAGTTTCTTGTTGCTTGGAGTGGATTTGCCTTTCATATTTATATGAATTAGGATTTCTTTTTTGGTTTTTCTCTTTGTTTCCATCACTGTCTTTCATTGTCCTCATAAATTCCCCAAGAACCCAAAGTCTGTCTTTTCAAACATACAAAAAGTAGTCACTTGTGGCACTTGTTTATGCTGTGGCACATTTGTTTAATGATCAAAGATGTGTGGCATTTTTGTTGTTGTTGTTGTTGTTGTTGCTGCTGCTGCTGCTGCTGCTTTTCTTTAACTCTGTAACGCTGTGTTTCTTTGCCTGTCAAAAACACCTGATTGGTCTAAGAGTTGAATGGCCAATAGCAAGGCAGGAGAAAGGATAGGCAGGGATGGCAGGAAGAAAGGATATATAGGAGACCTCTGGAGAGAGAAGAGATTGAGGAGCAAAGGAAAGGAGAGAGGACACCAGGGGTCAGTCACCCAGCTATACAACAAGCCAGAAAGAAGTTAAAAAAAAAAAAGAAAGAAAGAAACAGAGGCAAAAGATAGATGGGACAATTTAAGAAAAGCTGGCTAACCTGGCGGTGGTGGCTCATGCCTTTAATCCCAGCACTCAGGAGACAAAGGCAGGTGGATCTCTGTGAGTTTGAGGCCTGTCTGGTCTACAGAGTGACAGCTAGGACAGCTAGGGCTGTTACACAGAGAAACCCTGTCTCAGGGGAAAAAAGAAAAGAAAGACGGGCTAATAACAAGCCAAACTGAGGCCAGGCATTCATAAGAACAAGACTCCGTGTGTGATTTATTTGGGAGCTGGGTGATGGGCCTCCCAAAGGAGCCAAAGAGCAAAGAGTTTTTAAAACACACACACACACACACACACACACACACACACACACACACACACACACAACTACATATGGGCTCCAAAGTTTGAGGAAAATTAAGGGTTTGCTTACTCATGACAGAGCTGCACAAGCTGAAATATCAAGTCTGCCATTTCCTCTTCAGAGGAAGCTGAGGAAAGCAGGGAACCAGTAGCGCTTGCCCATACTCATTATCCTCCACAAAAGAGACTGAAATGAACTGCTCAAAAAGGTGCAGGTACTTGGTAGTTAGAACTAGGGTTGAGACTGAGATTCCTGACCAACTTACTTAAGATTCATCTCAGGGTTTTTCCTCTAGTGTGTAAATTTACAGAAATTTCTTACTTAGATATATTTATGTAGTGGCCAAAATAAATAATTTGAAATAACAAGAATAAAAAGGAAAACTGCTTCCTAAAATCTTCTAAGGAAGATAATTACTCTTTCCTTTAAAAACTGGTTGTAGGTAGACCTATTTAGGTCAACAAGTAGACTATCATTGGAAAGAAAATAACAGCCTCTTGAACTTGTGCACACTGGGTGTGGTGGTGCATACCTATAATTTTAACACTCTGGGGGAACTTTGTCTTTTAAATTAAAAACAAAAACAGCCTACACACCTTGCAATATGAGAAATTGCTGAGTAAGGTTCTTAAATACAATGCTCCCCTTTCTGAGCATCTTACTGCTGTGTAAGATGAAAGGCTTGAGTTAGCCTAAATGATGTCTAAAATCTTCCAGCATACACTTTTAGGGGCTTTTAGGTCTCCATTTGGTAAGGTCACGTAAGATCTTGAGAGCAGAAGTTATCCAAAGTATATCATTTAGAGCAGTGGTTCTCAGCATTCCTAATGCTACGACCCTTTAGTGCAGTTCCTCATGTTGTGGGGACCCCCAACTATAAACTTTTTTTTAGTTGCTACTTCATAACTGTAATTTTACTACTATTATGAATTGTAATATTAATATATAATATGCAGCCCCTTGGGAGTTGTTACCCACAGGTTGAGAACTACTGCTCTAGTGAGATGTACAGATGCTTCAGCATTGAGTAAGTAGCTAAGAAGATAAGAGAGTTTACCCTAATCATTCTTTGGGTTTATATGGGAAATTAGAATTTATGAAGGGGAATTAGAATTTATGATTGGAAAAACATTGTGAGAAAGACAAGACATATTATACAGTTAAGAACAGCTAAGGAAAGGAGAAACTTAGCAGTATAAAAAACACAGATGAGAGCCAGAGTGGTGCCACTGTGGTAGGACGGCTGAGGCATGTGGATGCTTGCCTGCGGGATACCCAAGTCAGTGGTAGGCAGCATCAGAGAACATCTGTTTCAGATGCATCAAAGCTCAGGCTGTGTGTAGTGGTGCTCGTCAGAATCCCAGCGCTTTGAAGGCGAAGCCAGGAGGATCTGGAGTTTGAGACCAGCCTGAACATTATATAGTAAGACTCTGTCTCAAGAAAACACCAATTTCCACAGATTCTTCAAAACAGGACTTTCTTGACTCATTTTTAGGTGCATTAAAGAAAAGGGGAAATTTTACACAGTATAGTTTTTGAAATACAGTGAGGATTGTTTTAAGTTGTGTACATTGTTTAAATTTAGGGTTGGCAATATAGCTCAGAAGTAGAGCTCCTGCCTAGCATGCAGAAGGCCCTGGATTTCTGTCTTCAGTACCACTCCTCCCCCCCCACAATACACATTTAAATTTGATGTCCTGTACATCTTATACAGCATTAGTATCTTGGTACATATGCAGTGAATTGTGTCGCATAGAAGAAAGAGAAAGGATGATGGGAAATGAGAAACAGTCAGGTTCACCAGAGTTTTTGCAATATTTTATTGGATTAGGATACATCTCTGTTAAATCAGCTTGTGGTAGGTCCCTGTTTCCAGTTCTGAAGGTCTGTCACTAAGCACACATCTAGATTGGTAGTGTTCTCAGAAAGAAAGATTTAAATTGGAAGTCAGGAGACCAGAGGTTTTTGATTCTGGCCATGAACTGGGTAAGAGCTAGAAGACTTAATCATGGGCCTCAGTTTCCTCTTTTTTCAGAGTTACATTTTAAAAGATTTATTTATTTTATGCGTATGTTTTACCTGCATGCACATATGTGTGTGTACCAGGTGTGTGCCTGGTGTCTGTGGAAGTCAGAAGACCATTGGATACCCTGGAAGTGGAGTTTCAGGCAGGTGTGAACTGCCATGTGGCGACTGAGAACAGAACCCAAGTCCTCATCAAGAGCAGAGAGTACTTTTAACCTCTAAGCTATCTCTCCACTCCCAGTTTCTTCATTTTTATGTGTGTAAATATGTACTTTCATTTGTGTTTGTGCACATGGGTGTGGCGGCCAGAGGTCAGCATTGAGTATCTTCCT